TTGTTTATTGATGCTGCATAATTCATCAAAGCACGACCGACCTAGTGGTGGGTTCTGCTGCTGGAGGTGTCTGGCTTCTGTTGCAGCTGCCCATAAAGCAGTGATCCTTGTTTAGGAAAATAGCCTCTGACTTTGTGCCTGCCCATGAGCCTTTCAATTAGTACACCTAAAAGGATCACTCTTGCCTTGGACTCAGATAAAATGTGAAGGTCCTGTTCGCTGAGAAATGCTACAGTTTTGGCATTTCCTTGTGTATTGCAATGTGTTTGAAGTAGAGAAGTACAGATACTTTCTGTGCAACAGCAATCCTGGGAAATTTTAATTGGAAATATTATAGTGCCTTTTTATTCTGACATTATTTATACAGTGTTTGGGATTATTTTACATTCCCACAGTTGAAATATTTTGATTGATTAACAGTGAAAAAATATGCTGTTTTGTAATGTTTGGTTTTGAATTATTTCATTACTTCCTAATAGCAGTAATTTCTTGATAATGAAGTACTGCTTGATGGGAGTTGCAGTTCAGAAGCTTGGCAAATTCACCCTGAACCGCTCCTGTTGCCTGATTTACATCTCTGGTACTGCATCATGCAGTTTGGTCAAATGGAATTTGAAGTCTCACTGCCTGATGTAACAATAGAGGAATCTGGTCTGTATGGCATAAGACAGGTTCAGGTGTTGATTCTCATGAAGCAGCACACTGCTGCAGGAAAAAATGGAAGTTTGTGTTGCAGTGCTCTGATTCTCAATGCAATATTGCTGGTCAGAAAAAAAACCAAAACAAACAAACAAAAAAACCCAAACAAACAAACAAAAAGATTTGTCAAGTATTTTTGGGTTGGATATTTCCCCTGTGTTCCCTGGATAGAAGATTGAAAATGTACACGGCTAGAAAATTAGCTAGGTCTGCCACAGTTTGGAAATACTCTTTCACATGCACAAACTAGGACCAGGAACCAGTCTGCCTAAAATCTCACTTCATTGTAAATTCAATCCTATCCTATGAAACTTACCAGGTTTCCTTGGCCCTGTAGTTAACTCTTCGTTAAATAACTCCTGGTACATCTGAGAGGTTTTTAGGTTCACCCTTTGTTTCACCAGCACAGGGTGAGGAGAGACATTTCAGGGAGACAGGTATTTATATCCTTCCTAAGCTCTGCTATGGGATGAGTCTAGTTAACTGGAGAAGCCTGGAAAATAAGATCTCATCAAGACTGCTGAAGGTGGTGACTTCTCCTGAAATAAAAAAGTACTTGGAACACTGCCATGAGAAGGAATGGGTCTTTGCTCAGGGCCCTTCTAGAGGGAATGTGTAAATGGTGTAAAAGAGGGACCAGACTGCCAGGGGATGGTCAGAGTTTTGCTTGAGCAAGGTGTGCAAGAGACCTAGGGCCAAAAAGCAAATGAAAAGGGAGACTTCTCTAATTTAGGATTATGCAGGTGGTGTGGAAGAAAACTCTAGGGACATTTTGCCCCTCGTGTGGGTTAAAGTTAAATGCATACATACTGTAGGGAAGAGGAGTGTTAGATCCAGTTCTCCATATCTGTAGATGAGTCTGTCTGCTTCCCAGCTGCTGGGGTTGCTGTCCTGACCTTACACACACTTGTGCCTGCCTTGGGTCAGGAGCCCTGCCTTCCAGAGAGCAAGAGCGATACCTGAGTCCTTATGGCACCTCTCAGGGGTGGAGGCTGCTCCCCCAGCCACTGAACCCATTGCTTTCCACTTCCCCCATGGGTGTCACTAGATCATAGAATCATAAAGTTATTTAAGTTGGAAAAGACCGCTAAGATCGTCAAGTCCAGCCATTAACCCAGCACTGTCAAATCCACCTGTCCTGTTTGTCCCCAAGCCCAGGCAGCTTCAGTTTCAGAGAAGTCACCAAAATGAAGTAGTTGGCATTGGCAGACTTGACAGGACCCACTGCTTTCTTTCAGATTGTCTTACTGATGAAAATGTCCTGGTTTCTGGGCAGGAGGAGCCACAGGGACTGCCATTCTGTTTTGCAGGACATTCCTTTATCTCAGCTCAGCAATATCACATCAGCAACAAAACAAAATTTATATGTACAGAAGGACCCATACAATCATGAAATATCAGGGCCACCTTCCACTGCCAGCTTTAAGAGGTCAAGTGTAACAGCTCCACAGCATTTGGGCTGACTGACTGCTTTAACCTCTCATGGGTGGTTTACAGTACCTAGCAGAGGAGTAAAAAGTTTAGAATTGTAAAATACTCTTTCAATCCTGGTAGTAATTACCTCTTAGCAAAGTTAGTGCTCTGCCAACTCAAAGAGACCTAATCCCCTTCTGTCATAGGAAGGGAAAAACTGTAATAGCTGTGAGAACTGTGAAGCTTATTTTCAAATAGATGACTCAGCATTTTGATATTTTCTGTGGGATTAACTAGTAACACAGGAAGGCTAATACATATGCAGAGCTTTCGTTTGCTTCTGTAACAATTTGCCCCGGGGCAAATTGAACTGTGTCATGATAATGGTGTTGTTGCCCCTCTTTCTTTGTCGGATGAGGGAAAAAGACTTGTTAGCAATATAGAAACAATTTGCAACTTGTTGTCATTTCAGGGAAGGTTTCTCCTTGCGTCATATTTCTGCTTAAGTTTCTCTTTTCCTTACCCAAACAGAAAGGGCTACCATTTTAAAAACACAGAAGCCACATAACGAAACATGTTAAAGCATCTGTGCTAACATAAAACAGGACTGAAGCTCTTTCTGTACTGATCTGTTGCACTCACACAGTTGCTGCTAGGTCAAAAAGAAGAGATGATTTGCTCTGCTCTAACTTTGGCTCCTGAGGATGGCTTTGTGCTGTGCCTGTGAGGCTGGTTCTGCGAGCATCTGGTGCTGGTGGGCACAGGCAGCGATGGCTGCAGAATACTAATGCTGCCACTGGCTCCCACAAGGCTCCACTTCTGAAAAACGCTTCAGCCATTCAGCGTCCATACACCATGCTGAGCAACAGGAGGGTAGAAAAGCCGTGCTCAGGGATTTTTTTTTTTTAATGCAGAGCAAGAAGCTGACAGAAATGATGGCTCTGTGCTTCACATTGTTGTGCCCAGGCTTCTTTCAGAGCTGCAGTCATTTATATGCATAAATATCAAGCCTGTCACTTGTTGCAGGCTTTGATAGCATTTGTGTAACAAAGGAATCAGAGAGAGAAAAAAGCTGAACATCTTCTATTCCAGCCTTAGAAAATGAATGACTGCACAGTTATCAGGTTTCAGGTTTTATTAGATCACTGTCCTCTGCAATTTGTTTTCCTTCTTGTTCTGCTGTCCGATGTAGAGGACCACGAGAGGACCTCCCCCCACACCCCTTTTGTCTTTCTCCCACGCTGTGACTACCCACAGGCGGGTTCTCAAAGAATTACCTACCAGTAATGATTGCCACAGCAAAGCCTCTTGCCACATACTGACCCCGTTTTTCTTTTTGCTTCAATTTTTTTTCTTCCATTAGCCATCTGACAAAGTCACTCCACATCACCCATTTCATGCAAAGATACGAGAACTCTGCTGTAATTGTATTTTTGATTACTTACTTGGTTTTTCTTTATCTCCCCTAGGCAAGATGCACACTTGCTATTTGCTCTGCATACCATATCTTTCTGCAGCTTCTAAATTGAGGCCAGCGTCATGTTTACCAGTCACCTCTGTCTGCAAAGCTATGCAGTTGCATCTAAATTTTCTCTGGGTCTTGCAGCTATTCTGTATTGAAAGACAACTAAAATACACTACTCGCACAAAGCTGCTTTTCCATTAAAGCTATTGGTGAAGTATCACAAGAATGTTGTTCTCTTGCCAGGAGGGAGGAGGGAGACGTTTGTACTGATTGCTAATAGGAGGGGGAATAGCCTTTGAGACAATCCCCTTATTAAATGTGGTCTGCACAATGAAAAGCTTGGGAAGCCTTTCTAAGGCTTCTCACATTTAGGCTTTGTGCCCAAGCTCAGGGTCTCAGACATGGAGGTGGTTTCAGAATACCACACAAGGGGAACCATTTCAGCAAAAATATCAAGGCTACTTGATTAATTTATTAAAGTGCCTTGTATCACTATGCCTCTTTATTGGCATGTAACTCCAGCAGAACAAAGTAACAATTTCTCCCTAGACCTCTACCCTTTGCTCTGCTGGGCTCTCAAAGTTCCAGGGACAAACAAGAGATAGAGTCCCTCTGAACAGTGCCAAGGTTAACTATAAGTTTCTTTTTTCCCCTGTGTAAGTGTAACTTTTTTGTTCCTCCTCCCTTTATAAGTCTTCCCTAATCTTAAGAAAACCTTGAAGCAGTAGTGTTACAGTCTGAAGATATAAACAGTGCAGGATTTGTAGGGACAAGTAATATATTATCCTAAAGAAAGACCTGTATGCCTGAAGGCTTGTCTGCTTTTTCTTTTTACCAGCTGTATCAGTTGGTCTAGTAAAAGATATTACCTTTCCCTACAAACATTGCCTTACTTACTAGAATAGTTGCCTCCAGGACATAAAACATTTAACTGTGTATAAAACTTCAGTGTCAGGGTGATAGAGTAGAGTTCAAAGGTGTGATTTCCATGCCCTGGGCCAATTGGCAAAAATGAAAATAAGGTGGGATGAACACTCTCCACCCTTATCATTCTGCACATCATTAATGTCCCTTACACCCCCACTCTACATCAGTATTTTTGTCTTTGCTACCTCTCAACTGTATGGAACAGGTCTTTTCCAACAAATAAATGCATGTTGACTAGCATCTTTTGGATGCTGTCTCAGAAAAACAGCAGCTCTTATGGTATGCTTGATTAAACTTTTCTCTGCCTTCTGATTATTTTCTTGGTTGCTATATCACTGAACTTTTTTTGTTGTTGTTTACTGCAAGTGAGAATCAGAGGCCTGGAGAAAAAGAAAAGCCCACTATGACTGAGTAGATTGTTTCTCTTTTAATGGTTACCTAAGTGTTGTAACTTGGTTGCAAATCTTAAAGGACTTTTTTTTTTTTAATATTTCAGGTGAACTTTCTGTGGAAGGCATACAAGACCCATTCCTTGTTAGTGTACATATTATCACAGACCCAGGTGAATCCAAGACTCTTCAGCAGGCCATTGATAAGCTTCTAGCCTGGATCCATCCCGACCTCCAGCTGTTTCGGGTCTCAGAAAGACGAGTGCCCCGGAAGCGCAGGAAGCTGCTCAAGGCTGCTGTTGCTCAGCCAGCCCTTGCTGTCATTCTCTTCCTGCAGGAGGAGTACGGAGAAGAACCCATCTTGCAGCTCCATGAAACTTTTCAGCGACCACCTTGGCATTACCACCACACAGAGCTAATGCATGGGAAGTTCCTCCCTTACCTGCCATGCAGCCAAGACTTTTACACTTTGGCTCCAGAGACTCCTCTGTGGGCCATTCGCCCAGTGCACTACGGGAAAGAAATGATCCGCTTCACCATATACTGCAGGAATGAGAATTTTGTGGACATTTTGAAATTGTATGAGTTAATACTGAAAAGACCAGTGTGTCAGAAAAAAGCAGACTTTTGTGTTTTTCCTGTCTATTCTAACATGGAAATAGACATTCAGTTTTCTTTAAAAAAACTCCCAAAGGGACAAGTTCCAGTGAGAACAGAGTCAGCCGTGCTGGAGTTCAGAGTGAAAGATGTGGGGCAGCTTGTGCCTCTCTTGCCCAACCCTTGCAGCCCCATCAGCGAAGGCAGGTGGCAGACAGAAGACCATGATGGAAATAGGATCCTTTTGCAGGTAAACTCAGTACACAGGGAAATAGAAGCACATTTCTTGGTTTTGTGCAGGAAAGCTTCCCCTGCACTGACAGTTGCCCTTTTGTTGGTTGGTTGTTGGTTTTTTTGCTCTATCCTTGGAGCAAGAGCCAGGACAGTACTGCTGAAAAAAGAATTTGAAACCCCTTGCTGTGTTGTGTAACTGATCACAAAAGCAGTGAATGATGTTAGCCAGATATCAGTCAACCTCAGTTTACGCTAAGAGTGATGTGAGATGAGATAGCTGTTTAAAAAATTGAGGAGAGAAGGAATTATGAGCCCGAGTGGAGAAATCGTGGCTGGTGAGTGTAGTTTTATAAGAAGTATGGGCACAGAACTGACAGGGAGTTTTAAAATAGCCCTCAGTTATGAGGCTTCTATGGGAGACAAGCAGAAGCCCTAATGGTACTCATTATTTTCTAGCATCACTGGATGACAAACTGCATCTCTCTTTTGCACAGTGATTATCAGGATGAAGAGAGGTGATGAAGGAAAAGAAATGTGTCCTGAAGAGCAGCCTAAGAGAGACATTCCCACTGATTCTCTTTTTGAACTAATCTCAAGTGCTGATAACCGAATCCTGAGAGTTTGTTTGTTAGGACATCTGTAGGCACCATATCTGGGCAATATATCAGCATGCTCTGCTTCACTACACCACATCCAGGGGAGATAAAAGGACAAGCAGCAAACTCTTAATAGCTGCCTGCCCTGCAGAGGGGTATCTGTGGCAATCCAGAGCCAGGTTAATGGGCATTCTTGCACTGCAGAGATTTTTATTGCTGCTTACATTCAAATCAAAGAGCACAGTCTTTCACCTTTATAAGGCTGTTCAGATTTCAAAGGGTATGATTTTGGAGTGAATTCCATTCATGTAACTTGTCCAGTTGTCTGACCTTTTTTCTGTGCAATACACATTGTGGGTGCCATCCTTGCACCAAACAGACCTCCTAGCATGCAGAGAGGTGTGCAGCCCTCTGTAGCACAGTGCCTCAGAGTTTGTAGTTCCTGGGACTGAAATTCCAGGTACACAGGACATCTCTGCTCTGGTGAGTCACATCCAGGTGGAAGTGGAACCTTTCAATGCTGCTTTGCAGATGCTGCCATCAGAGAAATCCTATGCGAGAGCTGAATAACACTTGGGAATAACACTCAGCAAAGGGCTGAGGAGGGCAGCTTCCTTGCCCATCTGTCAAGCCAGTCACCAGTTTGTCAGGGTTACTGATTGCACTTCAGGCGTATCTGTGTTAGCCTGAGATAAGCTGCAAACCGAATCTGACAAGTCATCACCAAACTTATACACAGCAACCACACTCACCTATGTCCTCTTTCCCCTGTTCTTTGTCAGGAGGTTTCTGCTGTGTGATATAACTTTGGTTTATGGGACCTTACACTGGTTTCAAGCAAATTGAAGGGAAGGGTAAAACAAACAAAAAAATAGGGCTTTTAAATAGGGCTTTTGGTTTAAACCCAGCAAATTTTCAGAAATAACAACTGTCAGGCAGTACAGAGGTAAAGTGAGACTTGCTGAGCAAAGAAAATCAGAATAAGATTTTAGCCATATGAACCAAAGAGAAGAGCAGAAACCTGCCTAAGTATGGCCTGCAAGTACAATTGATTTTCATTTCTTGTTTTGGGTGAGGATGATGGTTATGAGCAGGAGGACAAAATGTCAAATGAGAATGAAGTTACAGAAATGGAATTTATCACTCTGGAAGTTTGTGAAGTAAAACAAGTTTAATATATGCAAAGTGGAAGGAAAACAAAGCCTTTGGATCTAACTTATGCCATTTTAAAGTCATGAAAACTAGGTCCTGGTATGTGGGTTTTAAGCAAGGCTGTACAAAAAGAAGTGGAGCTCTAAGGCTAAAGCAAAGGGAAAATTTCCTGTTTCTTAGATATCTACAGCCACCAGTGCAACATGACCATGAAAAGAAAATTGCAGTCTCTGATGGGTACCAGAGTTACTTGCCATAGGAAGCATGGGAGGTTGCACAGGATCCCAAGGGCCACACCTTTCTTCAGCTCTGGACTCCAGAAAGGGGCAGGGACCAGGAAGGGCTCTCACCCCATGCAGAGGAATGGAGAGACAGTCCTGCAAAGGGAAACTGGAAGAGCAGGGTCACCTGTGCCCAACCAAAGTAAGTCTGAAGGGAGCTCTGACTTGAAGACAGATCACATGATAAACAGCAGGAGCAGGAAAAGGCTGGTTTACTCAGTTATTGTTTTGATACAGAAACGAGAACCTGCCAATAAATAGATCATAGTACATATTCACAGCTAACTACATAACAGCCACCAGCAGATGCAAGCAAGTTAATACCTTAATTTAAGGCAGGATGGTCAGTTAGGGAGAGGAAATGATGGAGCATGGGTTATAGGAAACATTGGATTTGGTGATCCATGAACTCCTTATATTAATTTAATTCATTCTAAGTTAAAGCAATTATAATATCTACCTTTGAAAGTAACAAGGCTACAGTTTGACTTCTCAGAGAGAGTTGCTATTAGCAATATTATCCATGCCACAACATTGATGATAACTTTGATTTCTTCCCAGTTATATAAATGTAAACAATGACCTCTTAGTACTTTTCAATCTCCATATCAGTTGATAGTTAGTAATCATCAGAATGGTTTTGTTTACTTTATACAGATGCTGCAGCTTTTTAAAATTATAATTGTACCAAAAATGGTAGATTAACATCCCTGTTAAATTTTTTTGAAGTTTGAAGTTTGAGTATACTTCCATGTTTAAGCTAACAAGACGTGACCTCTTGCTTGTCCTGACAGGGACTTGGATACTTGCCAGCCAGATTGATCCATGTTCTTAATCCATTTTGCAAATGCAATTATCAAGGGGCTTAGATAAAGTCAGTTCAAGAGACAACAAAGTTATTCGTGGGTAAGATAAATCTGTTTAATGCCAAGAAACTATTCCTTCATTTGCAGGGAAGCCCTTCAGAACTATTTTTTGTCACAGTGGCTTTTACAGATTGGCAAATTGCTCCAAGGGTGCAGCTATATAACAGCTGAGGCAAAGGGCTCAGTTGGCTGGAGCAGGAGCAAGGCTCAGGAACACGATTGCATCCTATGGGAATACACCCCCACTGCTTCACCAGAGCTAAGCCAAGAAGCAGGAGCTCTGGGGAGCTTTATCAGAGCAGTGGGAAGAATATGTAAATAATGCAGCTAAGAATATACCATGCATTGGTATACTGAGTATACTGCTGGATTTATAGGTCTTGTCCAGATTCTTGGCTGCCTCTGGGCATAATCCACACTGAGACAGATGAAGTGCTAATCAACTTGCACTCCTGGCAATGCAATGTGGGAAGCAGGAAAGGTTGGTAACTGATTGGACTGGCTTGGTCACACATGTTTAGGAAGCAAGGATAGTGAGCAGAGAGGAGAAAGTGCACAGATGGCTTCTTTAAATTATGATAACATCTCTGGATAGAGTAGGGAAAGTAAAATAATATTTTGGCAGGATTTCCTAGCCACTCTGCGTGAGGTGGGACATGCAGACATACCCAGGAGGAAGGTGGACACCAGAAAAATTAATGTCTTACCTAGGCAGAGACTCAGCACTTAAGCACAGGACCTGCTGCTGTTTTACATGCCAGAGAGTCCCTGTGCAGTTTATGAGGTGGCTATTTTCTGCCTAGTGTTGCTTTTTAAGGCATCCTTGAAATAACACTGCAAATGTTAACAGATCACAGCTTATGAGGAGGTAGAGGGATTCTTTTTTTAGCTGATTTGCTGAATTAATCGGCCAATGTTCTTATCTGTATGGGGCAACTGTAATCTTGAGGTGAGAAGTGGTGTCGTGTGTTTCAGGAGCAGAGGTAGCGGCCATAGCTGACACAAGAGGACTCAGTTAAATACAAGTGGAAAAGAGAAAGAAAGGCAGCTAAACCAGGGTCAGAAAAGGCAAAAAGACAAAAACAGGCAAAGAAAGGGCACTTTTGCAGAGAACAATTTAGTCTGCAGGAAAGAAAATGGAGGTGAGAAAAGACCTTCAAGCTTGCAGAATTATTATACATAATAGTGCAGATAGAGCAGAATTGAGCACAAAGAGGAAGAAAGGTGAGAAAAGCATCCACTGGCACAGGCCATCCAGAGAAGTTGCGAATTCCCTTTCCCTGGCAGTGTTCCAGGCCAGGCTGGATGGGGCTTTGAGCAACCTGGTCTAGTGGAAGGTGTCCCAGCCCATGGCAGGGGGGTTGTAACTATACAGTCTTTACAGTCTCTTCCAACCCAAACTGTTCTATGTCTTATGACAGGCAAAGATGTGTACAGGACACCTTTACAAAAATTATGTTTATTTTCTTCTGAAAGTGGTGAAAAAGACACACTTTCAGAGCAAAAGTTGACTCAGTTAAGGGAGGTGCCATGAACTGATTTAATTAATCTGCAAGTCTAATACTAGTCTCCTGCTTTACAAAAATTTTAATTCTATTTTTTCCTTTCCTTTTTGTGACATAAGTATTTGGTTGTCCTTAATGCTAATGTCTGGGTTTTGGGGGAGCATGAGAATCAGTCCCTAACTCATATAAGAGATTTTTACTTGTTTTTCTTCAGTCTAAGGTACTTTATCCAGTTAAGTTCAATGGCATACTAGGATCTCTTACAAATCAATACACCCAGCAAAAATTCTTGAGAATGAATATATTTTGTGTTACAAAGCACTCAGCTTTTCTATTTTTGCAAACACATTACAAGCCACTTTTCAAAGAGGTTCAATTTTTAATCACATTTGTGCATTTTGCCTTTTTGAAATGCTGTGCTTCTGACTGCCTTTCAAGTAAGACTTATTATGATGATACTGAGGACTAATCTCTGCCACTTCTTCTTGTGTTGATTTTTTTTTCCTCTGGATCAGTTCCACTGGTTTTAATACAATTAAACAAACACCATCACACTCCTGTTGAGCAAGGCAGGCAAAATCTGGGCTCGAGATGGTGATGTCATTGCTGTGCTTGCTGGGTCCTGACCTCAGCAAAGCCTTGCTGGCAGTTCTTAATGCAGATAATGCTTAAGGAGATCTCTATCTGCTTTCTTAAAAAGCAGATAACTTAAAATAGACTGCAGCAGCACTCATGGATTTTATCTGTTAGGTCCCGGCAGCCCAAGTTGAAAGTGCTTTTCTGAAAGGTTCACCCCAAGTTGTTTATGGCATTCCCGGATATTCATCATGAAATTCTTGTGCAGCCCATTGTAAAACACAAAGACTTTAAATCCCTCCAGGCTTCACAAAGATTTGTGCAGAGATTATAAATGAGCAGCAGATTAGCACCAGATGAAAAAATCTGTTCTGTTAGAGAGCTAATCTGTTCAGTCAGTGGCTGGGTTTGCTGCACATCTTTGTGGCAAGGTCTGACAAATCTACCTCCCTACATTTGGAATTTTGGTCAAAATCAATGTGTCACTTTGCATTGTGCCTTTGTCCTCTCGGATGACTGATGCCCTCTCTGGCATCTCCCTGGTGTTTTTGCCTGTTGCAGGCAGCACGGCTGTGCCAGGCAGGGCTCTGCCAGGCAGCAGGGAGGCAGCAGGCAATGCTGAGAGTGTTAGCAAGCTGTGAGAAGGCTGACTATGAGGATCTGAAAAAGAAAAGAGCTCAGAAAAGATGCAGCGGTTTTCAAAGCCAGTTGCAGTATTAAGGGGGCAGAGGAGCTTCCTCCAGGAACTGAGGAGGAGCTGTCACATGAGCGCACAGGCTGCATGCAGCACTCGGTGTGCCATCCCAAGGTGGCACAGGGGTGCACAGTCACTGGCCTTGGCACAGGACAAGGAGCTAGTTTTGCCTGACTTGTAATCCTGGCTAAATCACTGAATCCCCTCTGTGATCTCTGACAAGTTAGAGAATGTAGATATAGAAAAGTCTTATTAGTCCACATAATCCAGTTCTCTACAATACAGGATTAGCCTGTAATCTTTATTCACTAGTATTTTGTGGGATGGATCTTCTGAAACGCTACCTGTGGAACAGTGTTCTACCTGTAGCACATCACTGCTGTATTGTATTGCCTGGTGTTCTCACAGCCAGGAAAGTTTTCAGTTACATTGCTTTAAGATTAAAGTATTAAAATTATATTTACTATTATTAATATCCCCATTATTTCCTATTTCTGCCCATATAATGAAGACCAGCATTGGAAAATAGGTATTTTAAATCTTAACTCTTCTGAAAAAAATTATTGAGGTGAGCAGTTCCTCCTGTAAACATTTGTTCAGAAATAAGCTGTATTAGTGATGTTGCTTGGTCTGCCCTGCAGGCAGTCATTCTGGGGGCAGGCTGTGCTTGCTCGTTTCTCCTCACCATCCACCATCATCGCCTGTAGCACATCACTGCTGCTTGAGCTGCCTGGTGTTCTCACAGCCAGGAAAGTCTTCAGTTACATTGCTTTAAGATTAAAGTATTAAAATTATATTTACTATTATTAATATCCCCATTATTTCCTATTTCTGCCCATATAATGAAGACCAGCATTGGAAAATAGGTATTTTAAATCTTAACTCTTCTGAAAAAAATTATTGAGGTGAGCAGTTCCTCCTGTAAACATCTGTTCAGAAATGAGCTGTATTAGTGATGTTGCTTGGTCTGCCCTGCAGGCAGTCATTCTGGGGGCAGGCTGTGCTTGCTCGTTTCTCCTCACCATCCACCATCATCTCCTGCCAGGCCAAATGGGCTTGACCAGGAGCTGTGACCCAGGAGCAAGATTAACAGCAAATACTTTGTGTAAAATGAAGTGCCTCTATCTGTGTGCAGAAACATTAAAAGAACTAGGAAAAAAAGGTTTAAAATAGCAAAACCCTAAAACTAACATCCTACCTAAAGTAGGTTATCAGCTACAGTGTGTGTTCTCAGTGTAGTACAGCCCAAGGACATTGAAAACAATTCAGCTAACCAACCACACACAAAATTTTTTTCAGAAAAAGCTGAATTGCTCTCCAGACCCCACTGCCTGTATTAACTAGACAGTTAAATCTTATTTATGATGTCTGTGGGCTCTGCCTGACATATGTGTGGTAGACAGATGGCGTGACCTGCACAAGGTAAAGGTACTGGCCTCGGAACTCTCTGCAGTGCAAGGATAGGTCTGTTCCCAAAATGATTTTGGGAATTGATTCATTGAGCATGGTGGTTGAACTCATGTAGTGTATCTCATAACAGAGCTAGTGCAGAGAAAAAAAAGGGTGTCTTTTGTTAACACTAACAAAATATAATGAGTGTTTTCTTGGTCAAACACATCAAAATAGTGCAGTTATCTGTTTGTGGACTTTCAACATGTCAGGTTATTTCTATATTATCCAAAAATGTCTTTAGTTAAGAAAACAGCTAGTATATTCTTCATGGAAAAGCTTTTTATCTTGCAGAGTAATTTTTAAACAAATTGGCTCACATATTGCACTAAAAAAATAATGTTATTTGTAGAGGTCTAATGTGATTTCTGGCTAATGTTTTGCTGACAGCTAACTCATTACATTTGACTCTTTTGTCCTCAATTTCTTTATTCATATAATTCTTTATGACACTAAGGGAAACAGCTTACTATATTACACAGAAATAGGTTATGAATTAACACACCTTATTACAGATATTTTATATATATATATATAGTATTCATATGTATTTTTACTCACCTACAGTATCTAAATTACTTCTATGGTTTGGCTGTCCTATAATCTCTAGTAAGAGATCCAAGAACCAAGCATTTTTTGCAGATGTGAAAACCCTTTTTTTTGCCCATAAAATCACTTCAGTAAAATCCAGAATATGGCTATGACAGATCTGGGTCACTAAGACAATGTGATGTGCACTAGCAAGATGTTAGAAGCAGCAATGTATGGAGCTCTTTTAGAGACTGGGTACAAAGAACCTCCTTAGTTGCCAGGTCTCAGCTCTTTCTGTCATGTCATATAATCTGTTTGGTAAAACGAGCAGGGTCTGTCTTTATCCATTACTCACCCCAGAAGATTCTTCTCTTTCTGTTGTTATTAGAAACCTTTTATTAGTTTGTGGTTCTGTTTTTTTTAATGGATAGTTCATCTTTTTTTTTTCCCTGTGGCTCCATTGTTTTCAGTTCAGATTTATTCATTTTCACATAGGTGTGATTGGAATCGTATGCAGTACACTTAACAGTGTTGTCCACAGTGTTTTTTCAACTCACTTGAGACTGCCCAATACCATGTTGTCACAGCCTTGTTTCTTTAATAGCAGAAACAAATCAAGATATCCAGTTCTTTCTCCTCTCCTGTTTCCAACTGACAAGTCCCATAGCTGAGATTATTGTTTATTCTCAAGAATATGATCTTGCACTTTGTCCCATTAGTTCCTGTCCCTTTTGGAGCACAGATCAAGCATTTTGTATTATGCAAGAAATTCCATTAAGAAGACTTTAAATTAAACTTTTTTAAAGGCTAATTTCTAAAAGCCTCACTGAAATAAGGGCAAAGGTGAAAAACCTTACGATTGCTCAAATACAGTTCAGTTACCCAGACATGAATTCCATAGGAAAGTCACCTCACTCTAGCTCTTCCTTGAGAAGGATGTTGACTTATCATTTGTCACATGTGCTTTTCCTGTTCAAATGTTTGAGTATCTGATGGGTAGGCAATTGAATCCTGCCCTGGGACTGGGATTCAGCTCCAGATTTGAATCATAACCATGAGTTTGGGTCTTCAGCCCAGGTGTCTACAAGCAAACTGAACATGTGTCTGTAATGTCACTGTAAGCTAGTTAATAGAGCTGACTAGGTAAGAAAGAAAATGTGAAAGAGTTGAAAGAATTAGTAAATTTCCATTGAGGAGACTGAATGAACTTGCTGAAGGCTTTCTGATGTTTTAAAGGAGGACAAAACAAAAAAAATGAAGGAAGAAATGAGACATTATAATAATATAATATACTTCTTCCATTTCTTGATTTTTTAGTTAAGCTGTCCACTAAAGTAGTAATGTTGGAAGACAGAATATGAATGAATCTGAATAAGTCAATAGGAAGTGAGAAATTCAAGCTAGCGTAATTCAGCCCACAAGGCAAGGCTTCTCTACCATTTATTCTTGTTGTCTTTGAGGCTCCTTATGTAAATATTTGGGATTTTGGCAGAGTGGTTTGTCTTTGTTATTGCAGTGAAACATTTGCTGCAAGCATACTGACTGAAGCCTGCTTCATAATTATTTGCAGTAACAACTCAGCAATGGAGACTTAGGGTTGTAAAACTGCCAATTCTGTATTAATGTGATCTTCTTCTTTCCCTCTGTCGACTGCAGCAAGCACACAGTTGGTGTAGGAAGTCTGCAAAGCAGAACAAGCAACCATATCCATCTGTGTCAGCAGATTCCCACTTCACCACTCTGCCAGCCTTCCTTCCTCAGAGCCACCGATCTGTCTCTGAGCAGCCACAAGAAATGGGTCAAAAAAAGGAACATCACACTAATGGCCTTGGTCATTATCTTGGTTTCTCCCAGCAGGACTTGAGACATAGTGATCTAGGAGACTTCACACGCAGATCCAGGAGTGCCTCCAGCATTTCTTGGTCATTTCAACGAAGCAAGTCTCTGTTCTGCTTGCCCACAGTGAACTCCTCTTCAGCATCAGAGACATTTCATTTCAGTGAACCATTTCAGTTTTTAAATACTGGGTCACCTGCAACCAGGTTAAAAACATGGAAATGCAGTCCCAAGCTTAACATTAATGACTTAGAGGATGCCCAAGAGACTGATGTGGACACAGGGATGAAGCTGTCCTTCTCAGACCTGTCTGTGGTTTCTGCATACTCTGCCCTCAATGGATTTTGCAGTGAGTTGGAAGACTCTCTTCCATCACAGAAACAAACTCTCAGTAGGGCTAAACAGGCAGCCACCAGTGGAAGGCCTTTATCAGCCATGTGCAATACTTTTGAGTCAGTTGATGGTTCACTGCCTTCTCTTTCAGAATGGTCTTCCAGCTCTTTCACATCAGCATCTCTCTCTGAGCAACACAAGCAGCCCTTGAGAGCAGCTCCCTATTCTCTGGATGATCGTGTTTGCCTGGCTTCACCAGTTAATGAGGAAGAATTTTACATCTGAGGTTTCTCTAACTTACATCTTCCAGAGGAAACGTATTCTACTTGTGAATGACAGCAGTGGGTCCACCCTGAGGTTACAAGAAGGTTCCTTGCTGAGGAGAAGGTGATGCCAGAAGAGTGTTAAATATTTGAAGAAATTACTCAGAACCCTCTGAGACTGGCGTTCCCAAACCGGGTACAGTAAAGCAGTCTAAGATTGCACCCTCTATCTTGGCAATGGAGGATGTGATCAGCACAGAAGTTTTTGCACAGCAGCGCAAGGTGGATGTTTTCTGACCAGACCTTGGACTGATGGTGAAGGAAATACCAGAAGAGGCACATAGTATTCCATTTTAATTTGGCAGAAAATGTAGACTAATTTGTGAAAACAAACTGCTTTAACTTTTCTGAGAAATTCCCTTAACTCAGGATAGGTAGGAAAAGAAAGGGGTCTTATTTCCCGTTCACAGGTTCCAAAGGCAGCTCTAAGCCCAGCAGGTCCCAGCAGCACAGCCTCAGTAGGGTCAGGCAAGAAGTTTCTTGTGAGGAAACACTTTCCTTCCAACCTTTGAGAGCTGGCAGTGGTGAGCTGGGGCAGAATCACACAAACATCAAGGTTGAAAGAGGTCTTCAAGATCATCTAAGTCCAAGTGACAACCTAGCACTGCCATAATCACCCCTAAACAATATCCCCAAGTGCCACATCCTGACACCTCTTAAACACTTCCAGACACTGACCCCACCAACTCCCTGGACAATTTATTCTAAGGTCTGACCACCCTTTCAGTGAATTTTTTTTTTTTTCTAATATCTAATATGACCCTCCCCTGGTGCAATTTAAGGCTGTTTCCTCTCATTGTTGCACTTAAGATATGGCAGAAGAGACCAACCCCCACTTCACTGCAACCTCTTCTCTGGTAGTTGTGGAGATCGGTGAGGTAACCCCTGAGCCTTCTTTCCTCCAAACTAAACTAATCCCAGTTCCCTCAGCTGTTCCTTATGAGACTTTTGCTCCAAACCCTTCACCAGCTCCATTGCCCTTCTCTAGACATGCTCTGGCCCCTTAGTGTCCTTCCTGAATTGAGGGGCACAGAACTGAGCACAATGATTCAAGGTGCAGCTTTCACCAGTGCCAAGTACAGGGGTCCCATTGGCCACACTGTTCCTGATACAGGCCAGGATGCCATTGGCCTTCTTGGGCACCTGGGCACAGCTGGATCATGTTCAGCTGCTGTTGACCAGCAACCCCAGGTCCTTTTCCAGCCACTCTTCCCCCAGCCTGGTGCAATGCGTGGGATTGTTTTGACTCAAGTGCAGGACCCAGCACTTGGATCACCTTACTGAGCTCTACAAGACTGTCCTCAGCCCATTGATCCAGTCTGTCACAATCCCTCTGGAGAGCCTTCCTGCTCTGCAGGAGATTGACACTCCCACCCACCTTGGTGTCATCTGTGAACTGAGGATGCGCTCAATCCACTCATCCAGATCATCAATGAAGATGTGAAACAGAGCTGGCACCACTGCTGAGCCCTGGGGAACACCACCAGTTACCAGCAGCCAACTGGATGTAGTTCCATCCACCACCACTCTCTGGGCCTGCCCATCCAGCCAGTTTTATTCAGTTAAGAGTTCCCCCATCCAAGCCATGAGCAACCAGTTTCTCCAGGATAGTGCTGTGGGAGACAGTTTCAAATGCTTTCCTAAAGTCTGGGTAGACACCATCCACAGACTTTCCCTCACCTACTGAGTGGATCACGTTGTCATAGAAGGAGATCAGGTTGGTCAAGTAGGACCTGCTTTTCATAAACCGATACTGGCTGAGCCTGAGCCCTTGGTTGTTCTGTGCATGCCACGTGATGGCACTCAGGATGATCTGCTCCACACCTTTCCCCAGTGCCAAGGTGAGGCTGATAGGCCTGTAGTTCCCCAGATCATCCCTCCAACCCTTCTTGTAGATGGGTATCACCTTTGCTAACTCCCTGTCAACCAGGACTTCAGTAAACCAAAACTGCTGGAAAAGGGTTGACAGGGGTTTGGCAAGATCTTTTGCCAGCTCCCACAGTACTCTCAGGTGCATCATATCAGGGCACATAGATGTGTGTCTAACTGGGACAGAAGGTCATTAACCCTTTCCTCACAGGTCATGACTCAGCTCCTCATCCCTAACTTCCAGCTGTCATTGCAGGGTATGCTGGGGGCAGCTGGCTTTGGTGTTAAATACTGAGGCTAAAAAGGCACTGGGTACCTCAGCATTTTCCTCATTCTTTACACTGTGCTACCCTGTGCATCCAGCAAAGAATAGAGACTCCTTAGCCCTCCTTTTGCTGCCAATGTATTTATAGAAACTTCTTCAGAAGAAGCGCCACTCCTTCCCCAGGGAAGAGGAAATTCCACTGTATCTTTTGATTTGTCAGACCAGGATGCAGAAAGTGCCAAAAGAGAGACCTTAGAGAAATTTTCAGACCCCTCACCCAGAAAGCCCATCCTGTTCAGCTAGAAGGGGGCCCTCTGGGCTGTTGCCTGAACCACTTGTGCAGACAGTGATAACCTGAGTAAACCATGTTTGCTGCTCCTAACTCAGGCAATGCAGCTCGCCTGTTTGGAATACAAACCAAGAAAGACAATCCAGCATTTTTATATATTGCTGCACCATTAGACCCAAATAAAAGACAGCTCCCTGTTTTTTAAGGGGTTGTTATTTCTCTGTTAGAAATAATCAGTGCAGAAACTTTTTCTTCGTATTTCCAGTGCCAGCATACTTCTTTCTGGATAAAACTTATTTCTTCTTGAATACCTCTCCCCAAAGGGGAAACAAGTCAAATTTTCTGGCTTTCAGAAGATGTTTTTAAAATATGCATTTTTGATAACCTGTTCTGCTCTAATTAAATTTTTCTTTAAAAAAAAAAGTGAAAAGCTGCTAATATGAATATCCTTCACCAGGATTTAAGTCATACTAACAATTTTTTATGCGTGTTCTGAAAAGTTATATTTTTGGCTGACAAGTGTCACTGATCACAGCTCTGCTCGAGCCACTGGGGAAATGACCATGTTAAAAGGTGTATGTATAATGCTGGATGTATATATACAGGTATAAATGCTGAAGATCTACCATGATGGCATTGTGGTGTGTGGAACAAAAACTCATTTTCAGATAAAGATATTTGTGGTATTGCCAGGTAATTTTAATCAAAAGAATTTCTGCTTTGGAGGGAGGAAAAAAAAGTGGAAAAGGACAGACATACTGTAAATAATAGTTACAAAACATTACTGGAACAGCTCCCCTGGCCTGTTTAGGTAAGTGCATGGTTTTTACAAACTGTTCTGGAAGAAAGTCTAGAGGAAAATGAGTACAGGTTTTTAGGAGAAAGACCTTCACCCCGAGCCCAGAGGGATGTTCAAGGCTTTTTCCTTTTGCTCTTGTTTTCTTCACACAGGAAAAAAGGCAACAGACCAAGTCTCCTCTCTGTGAGATGCTGTCATAGCATTTACCCAGGGCAGACCTTGTCTTTTGTGCTAAACACAATGAATAAATAAGAAAATCTATTCAAAGTAAAGAGCACAGATTATCAGCCTTCTCCTGCCCTCTAAAACTGTTTAGGCTTACTGCAGTTTTGGGTAAACTGTTCTCCTTCTGGGACCAAAAATAGCACTAATGAAGAATTTGTCATAGTGTGTTTACCTGCTCTGTGCTCCTTCAGGCCCCATGCTGTCTTTCCTCTGACTGTCATGACCTTTAGATCAAATCCCTCCCTGGAACACATGAACGTGATTTATCTAAAGTTATATTCCCATGTTATTGTTTGTACCCTGCCAAAATATATATCAAACAGTATGAAGTCAGACTAGCCACTTTTTCCATCAGCTTGCAGTTCACTATACAAACAGTGATGCTTAGGACAGTCAGCATCCACAGGTTTAAATTTATACTTCTTCATTTTCTGACCATAATCATGGTATTTTCACAATATTTTAATAATACAGAAAACATTCGATCTGGACATGAAATAAATAACTTTTTTGAGCTGATGTAGCTTTCTGATCCTGGCATCACACTCCTGACAAAAAGCTGATTGGGGTTTTTAATGAAAAGGAGGCTCTGAACTATTATTCTGCTAAGGCATGCCTGTAGAAGGAGTCCATCACATTTGGGGGCTGATGTCTGCTGCAGCAGGAAGCACTGGTGTTGGAGATCCACAGGGAAGCACAGGACAGCTCCAGTGTCAGTCATGAAGTTCTTGTGTGTTATTAACCAGCAGCTCCTTGAGCATCTCAGCTCCAGATTTTGCCACATTAATCCTGATGGGAAGAGAGCCAAATGAGTGTCCACAGACTCTGCATTTGTACTGTCCCCAGAGGTTCTGTCTCTTTTCTCTGTACTGATACCTAACTAAAGATTAAAGTTTTAATTGTTTACATTGATGGTGCTTATAACCAAATCTTGTAAAAAAATGAGTGTCCTACTAGAAGGAAAAACAGAGGTGATAGCATACAGAAAACTTTCTGTCTATAAAAAGAAAGCCAGATTATGAAGCGTGTTTCACTGAAGGTAGGTGTCATTAATTCTCTTCCCATTATTTAAGAAGGGGCTTATCTCTTCAGAGACTTGAATATGTACAAATTTCATGTCATTTACTTATTGATTTGAACAGTGTATTTTGAGAACTGCAGGTTTTTCCTGAACTTTTTCTCCTTCTCACCCCAGAATGCACTGCTTCTGTGAAATAAAATAGATGAAAAGTCAGTTTTACGTAACCCTCTGTGTGTTCATTTACAAAGTATTGAAGACTTACAGAGTATTTTAACTAGGCTTCCAAAATGACTGCAGTGCTACAACCTCTACAGCTTTTGGTGGTGTGTGTTGGTGGGATAATTACAAAATAAACACAGCAAAAATATTTTTTGTTGAAATCAGTTTTGCCTCTGCAGACTGGGTCTTTTGATTCTCACTGTGGTGTTGTAAATCATTTTCTCTAGTAGAGCTGAATGATAAAATAGGAGCTGTGACACATATTGGTAATCTTGCATGCTCAGATCCCATC